TATATATATATATATAATATTACAAGGATCAATAATATATTTAAACTACCTTAAAATCTTGCCCTAAATGCTGAATGGAGTAAACGAATTGACTTAAAATAAAATATATTTAATTTTTATTGTTTATGTATAGACTTGCATGTAGTGTAACAACTAAGACACAGTAGAATGAGAGAATTTTAGATATTTGTGTAAGTGTAAAATTGTACTGTTAAAGATTATTTAAAAGAAAATAATTAGTACTATCTATGTTAAACAACTACTTTTCTTTTTCGATACTTCATCACTTTATTAGTATTATCTATACTATCAATAACTCAGTTAAACATGTTTGACTTAGAAAGGTTTAGAGATGAATAATTTTTTGGGAAGTTTTCCAAAAAATGTGCAAGTAAGAATAAAACATACTAAAAAGTCTTGTGTTAGGTTTTTGAAGATTGTTGGTGTTAAGTCAGACGAAGCAATTCTCAACGAGGTTTTGAACATAACAAATATAATACATATTTTTATAACTAACCTATGTGTCAGTGTTTCAAATAAATATAAGAAACAGGCAAAACTAAAGCATGAAGCAAGGATTAAACAAACCAAGCCAAATGATAAATGGAACATGGGAAGTGCGCTAGACGATAACGAACATTAGACGAAAATATGTCAATGACAACCCAAAGCGCAACATAAGAAATCAGACACAACGCAAAAACAAATATCAAACGAAGAACAAAACTAGACCAAGACAAAGATGACTTAGAACCAAATAAACATCAGATGAAGCCTAATGGTCAACTATACAAAGGTCAACAAAACAAGTATCAGTCGTTAGATAACAAAAGACGAAGAAATATTCCAGACAGAATAAAAATCATCCATCTTCATGACTGATCAAACGAGATGTAAAAGTAAAAGTCTAAATCTTAGACGGAACTCAGATTCCAGACACAAACGAAGAATGATGAAAAGCGTCTAAAGTCCATTATTCACAACGAGGAATATCACATATCGCCCACATTCACAAGAAGAGTACACGAAGTCATCAAGAGTGTGATATGAAAGAAGAAAAATAGAAGAGTGCGAATCCACAAGTTAAAGCTGCGTGTGTCAGGGCAAGTACATCTACTTTTCAAAAAAGACAACGCCTCCGCAGCTACAATGATAAAAAAGGACAAACATACCTAGGTTATGATTAAAGTCAGAAATAAAAAGGGACAAATTACGCAAAGGACTTCACGTAACACAGATTTGGCAAGCAAACATTTAATGCAAAATCAAATGCATTAAATGAAAAAGATCTATGTAGCCATGAACGATCGACTATCTGCACCAACGGGAAGCTCCGCCTCAACGGACACATTCAAATTCAAACAACGGGCAGATTTATCACTAGGCTATAAAAATCAAGACCTAAGAAGAGAATAGAAGAGAAGAGAAGCAACGAGAAATAAGCAAAAGCAAGCGTCAAAACAAACTTATATCTCTTCTTGTTCAGATTTGAATATCAGTATAAAACTAAGATATTGTATCTTAGTGAGTGTAGAAAATACCCCATCCTCTTTGTGAGAGTCACATACACACTCTAAACACATATCCTTGTAAAACTAAGGTTGAATACCTTAGCGAGTGTAGAAACCATATTATCCTCTCTGTGAGAGTTGCATACACACTCAAAACATCCATTGTTTGTAAAGCCTGAAGAGGCTAGTGAAAGAATACTTGGAGAACCAGAAGTGGTTTAAGGATACTAGCGTCGACGAGTGAAGTTAACGAACTAGAAGTGGTTAAGAATATATTTGTAATCCGTTGTGATTAGTGGAACCCTTCAGTTGAAGGAGACTAGATGTAGCTCAGGACGAGTGAACCAGTATAAAACCCTGTGCATTGTTTACTTGTCTTACAAACATAATTTTATATTGATATATCACACTGGAAAAATTTCGTCTACTACTTATTTTCTAAACAATATTCAGACAAAATTACATTGGCTTATCTTAAGAAACTATTTTCGAGTAGACGATAGATCTTCAGACGCAGAGTTTCTTTTAAACAATCTTGCACAGTCTCTAAGTGCTTGAAATATTATTTTCAGACAGAAAGAAGTCCCTTTTCGAAAATGGTTTTAAAATCTTTCGTTCACACACATTCAACCCCCCCCCTTTGTGTGTTTTCTGCTAACTTTAGTTGGGGTTATCCACAAAGAACTTTGACCAATAAAGAGTTGTGTGAAATGTCATCATGTGAAGTAGAGCCACTAAAAGGTAATACATGATTATGACAAGCATACCAATCACACAAGTAACTAGTATTTTATCATTTCTCCAACAACTTATGTAGTACGTGATAATAGGTACAATTTACAACTAAATTAAGCAAAAGAATATTTCCATAAATTGAGTGTTGGTTTGTAAAAGAAATAAAAACTATACAAGAAAAAATAAAACTCTTTTGGTATTTTATCACAAAGAATATTTCCGAACCTCACTCTTATGCATATAATCACTTAATCTTATTTTGCATTTAATGTTAATGTTAGCACACTAGTTTATTCAAACCCTAATTCCCTATAAAAAAGACTCTAAGCTTCCTTATTAAGTATCAATCCCTTGAATATTTAACAAACAAACTTGCATAATAACAAGGGTTTAAGAAAACTAATGGGTCAAGTTCTATCTCTAGACACAAGTTCCATTAGGTATTTTTCTTCAATTAAAGATTACAAAAGATATTTTCTAATACCTAATGAATCAAATATCAAGTTGTGGTTGATCACTCCACAACAATCATTAAGAGAATAAATAAAATACTAACACTGAAATGGAAAAACACACACACACATAACAATACAAATTACATGAGAGTTTGGTTGGTTACATCTAATCTTAACAAAATGGACTTAGCTCCTCATTGTCATGAAGAACACAAAAAGAAAATAAGATCTATGGTGGAAGGTGGAGAGCCAAGGAAAGGATTGTAGGTCTTCAAGCAAGCCCTAACAACACCCAAAGAACCC